ACTAACTGACACACTGATGTTCTTGATACTCCTATCTTACTGCTGTGGTACTGTTCATTAGCAGTTAAATCTTTCTGGACCATGGTGAAGCAGGCTGCCGCTGGCAATCCACTGTGGAGAACATTGGAGCAAATATCCACACTAGGCTATAGAAGATCCCCACACCAGATTAGGTGCATGAGCCATGAAGGAAGCTGCAGCCCATGCACAACCCACACAGGAGGTGTTCTGGCAGAAACTGGGGAGGCCATGCCAAAACAGTCTGTTCCTAAAGGGCTGCCCCATCAAAAGGAGGATCCACATTGGAGCAGTTCGTGAATGACTAGATCCCACACAGGGGGATCCCACACTAGAGCAGGGGAACAGGGTAAGGAAGAAGGAGCAGCAGAGGGGAACTGTTATGGACTGGTCCTGACCCAACCCTCCACTAACCATCTCCAATCCGCCTGCATCATTGTGGAAGAGGAGGTAGAAGAGTGAAGTTGGCTCTAGGAAAAAAAGGGGGAGGTTGGGGAAAGATCTTATTTTCCTCTTTGTTGCTATCCTACTTTATTTTTAATTGGCAATAAATGAAATTAGATTTCCCAAGGCCAGTCTATTTTGCCTGTTGTGATAACTTGTGAGTGTTCTCCCTGTTTTAACCCATGAGCTTTTTTTCACCTTGTCATCTCCTGCTGGCCTGCTGGGGAGAGGACACTGGAGAGCAGGTGGACACATGGCAGCCAACCAAGGTTAACCCACCAGAAAAGGTTTGTTCACCTACAAATAGGCACTATTACCTCAGCCTAAACATAGAGGAAAATGGGCTATTTAACCACTTGAGGGTAAACATTTTATATGGAATGCCAATTCATTATCTCTCTGACTTTGCTTACTCAGCTCACATAAAACTGACTGCCCTGGTTCTTGCCAGTCTGGCCTACTTAAACATTTAGTATTTAATGGCAAAGATATCATATATCCTTCAGAAGCATGTGCATATCATCAGGTTTCCTCGATCTGGTTCTCATCCTGTACAAAACCAACTGCCGCTGAAAAAAAGCAATGCTGGGTTCCTTTCTACCCATTTCATAGAGCCAGACTGGTTTGCATTGGAAAGGGCCTTAAAAAAAAAAATCATCCAGTTTAACCCCCCTGCCATGGGCAGGGACACCTCCCACCAGACCAGGTTGCCCAAAGCCCCATCCAACCCGGCCTTGAGCACTTCCAGGGAGGGGGCATCCACAACTTCCCTGGGAAACCTGTGCCAGTGACTCACCACCCTCACAGTGAAGAATTTCTTCCTAATGTCTAAATCTACCCCCTTCTGTTTAAAGTCATTAGCCCTTCTCCCTGCCCTTCTAAAAAGCCTCTCCCCAGCTTTCCTGACACTCTGCTTGAAATATAAGTAGCAGCGACTAAATCTCCCTAAATTGCTTATACTTCCTGCTCAAGTATCAGCTCCATCCTTGGCGTGTTCTCACGCTGCATCTGCAGCTTTTGCCAGAACCAGAAGTGCTGTAGCCCAGCCGCACCTCTTCTGCAGTGAACTGGGAAGTCTGACTGATTTCCAGGACTAATTTATATTTCAAGACTGGAATAGTTTTTAATGAAGACTGAGAGTCCATGTTCTATCTTCAAAACAGAAGTCACATTTACACGCCTTCATACTGTCTCACTACTCAGGTTTGTGACAGCACTTAGGCTTATTCATCTTGCATGGCTTTTTATCCAACACCTCATACCTAGTTTTAAGATGGGTCATCCTGCAGGCTCCTTCCAGATTATTATCAAGAACCAGAGCAGTCTTAGCCCCCAGGGAAATAAATAAATACTGAACAGCATTTCCATGCAGGCAAACTCTTCAGCAGCTCTGTCCCACATGCTACAGTTAGCTCTGTACAGACTTGTTAGATCTTGTCTACTTAATTAGTGTTTTTCTAACAGGCTTGCAACCCAGCCTCGATTGAACAGACATTGAAGACAGATCTTACTAACACAGCTGAGCTCCACTCAGCTCAAGAGCCTGTCACTTCATGTATGGTAGCTGAAATTCTCCTGGTCACTGCCCCTATCCCAACATTTTGTCTTCAAATGCACACTTTTACTTGACAGGCAATCTGAAGGTACAGTGGCACACTCCAATGCTGCATTAGATTGTACAAGCACAACATGTACAGGTCACCTTTGCAAACATGCTTAAAATTGTTAATTCTGGGGGGTTAAAATACTGATTTCTGAAGCTCTTTTATGTATAGTTATGTAACAGAGTACTACAGCAAACATAATAGAATGTGAAAGCTATCAAATGTCAGGGAAGAACTCTAGCATTACAGGAGAGTAAAGCAATTTATAAAAGGCTGTGCACGTAAATTGTCTCAGATGAACTTTGGGGAATTCCAGTCAACTAGCTGCTTACTGCCCCCCACTAAGAATAAAGACTTTTTCTACTCCCATGTCCTTCTCTCCGTAACATTACCAGCTGCTTGCTCTTTGTATGTTTCAGAGAATAAGACATACAATACTTATGAGAAATAACAAACTACAGTAGCAGATGACTAATCTGCTTGTAATGCATGGGGAAGCAGATGGAAATTGAAACAGCAAAGTCTTCCATCCTGTTTTTCTACTTGTGATCAACAATAAATTTACTCTCAAATACTGGTTTTACAAAGAATACTTAGCTTTGCTACTAGTGACGCTTCCATACCTCATCTTGCTTCAAGAAGCACCTTCCTCTCCAGGCAACCAGCCAGAGCCCTCGTATTAACATTTCTCAGCTCAGACCATTTTTATATTATTTGGCCATCCATGTCTTCCACATAGCTCTAATACTAACTCCAGCATCGCCTGGCAGTATTTCTTCCTCAAGCTTAAACAAAACATTAGTGCAATGAATAAAACCAACTCAAATATGCCTTTAATCATCCTGAAAATTAAGTTTCACTGATGAAGTTTTGCTTTTATTTACAAAGACAGAAATTTACAAAAAACTAGACATCCTTCATAATTAAATTTACTAAATAAAGATTAAATCCTGAGTTAGCAAAAGTTACTGCTTCACTGAAGGTGCAGAAGCTGCTTACAGGCTTTTTTATGGTTTTGGCTCCCAGTATGAATTCCTCACACAGCATTTTTTCAAAGCCTTAAATCCAAGGCCAAACACAAGATAAAAATCAAAACAGAGGAAGACTGTAAATATCAGTGCAGCTTTAGTTAACTAGCTATGCATCAGCTAGAGTACAGTACAAAACATCTGTTGATACTTAAGACACGAGAGTTACGAACTAAAACTATTTTTCAATTAATTAATAGCACTTTTTAAAAAATAATGAATGTGTAATATAGCGATCGTAGTTTAAAATCAGATGCAATCAAGTGAGTGTTGATTAACGCACATAATGTAGAAAGACCCACTGGTTTTAAGATACTGATGGCCAGTTCGTTATGATTACAGTAAGTAAACCTCCTTCCTTAGTCCCCGAGTCAGCTGACAATCTTCACGAATGCACTTTCCAGCAAATGAATCTACTTCTTGCCACTATCACACACAGCTACAGAGCAATTTGAAGGAATGAACCAGGGAACAGTGGTCCCTCACAGCTCACACAAACTGAAGTTGTCAGAAAATCTTCTTTCACAAGCCCTGCAAACCTAGCACTAGCATGTTTTCACTCAAAATTATGATGCATGCACAAAATCTGCCTGGCAGGCGATTTGGCAATACTCATGAGATGAGCAAAATACTAATTTGTACAACGTGCAGTGTGGTATTGATGTCACAGAATGTTCTATATATAGTTTGGGAAAAAAAGCATGAAGAAGTTTATTCAGGTACACAGAGTTCTTTGAATTTCAGAAACTAACATTAACTAACTGCACTGAAAAAAAACTGGGAGTATTAAAAAAAAACCCAAAGAGGTCAATGGCTTCTGAACTAAAAGCTTGTCAATTAAAACTGGAAGATATTCTAAATCACTCTCAGCCATTTATAAAACCCATCCTGTGGAAATAAAACAAGAGCAATGAACAGACATTAGACATCTTTAAAGAGATGACTCTTCTTGGTATTTTTCCTTATGATAAGCAAACAGTATTTTAAGAAACAGGTGAATGTGTTAGCAAAGTCCAATACTGTCACATTACCAAAAGTCTTTCCAGAGGAGATAGCAAAATTTAGCCAGTTCTAATAAATCAGAAGATAACTTGAAATCTAGAGTAGATTAATTATAAGACATCCACATAAAGGAGTAGGGACTTGACACTAATACACAAGAAAGCAAGTCACATGCTCATATACAGATACTGAAAGATCCTAACAGGAGCAAAACCAGAAGATGATAGTTCAATCAAACTTACCCACTCAAGATGTAATGTTGAAGAGACAGGCAAAAGGGAGCAACGAAGCTTTAATAGAAACAATATTATCTGGAAAAGATAATCTAGATAAATAATCGCCATATTCCACCATAATATAAATTCTTTCTGCATAGTGCATTTGCCAAGGACTGGGAATGCAATCTAAATTAGCATCACAGCTTTCAGTGAGTTCATCCGCTGACAAAATCTGTATTTAGGACTTTGCCTCCTCTGCCTCTCACCATGTGAACAAGCATCTTTTAGCTGAAGATAGGACGGACAGGATTGGTAGGTGATAGTCCCCACATGTGCGTGAAGTACAGTTATATTTTACATAACATCAAAATAATTTCATGAGACCCTTTAATTACAATTGCCATCACATTATGCTAATGATACCTCCTCAAATGCAGTTTTCATTTTAGGAAACCCACTAGTCAAACTGCCACTTCAGTGGAAGAACCAAGCTGAACTGTATTCACATTGACACGAAGTATTACTATATCCCCAAGAAAGCAGTAGTCTTCAAATGGTCAAACTGCCAAAGAAATACTATTTGTTGTGCAAGTACTTCAAATTCTTGTGAAAGTCTCTGGCATCTTCACTTCAGCAGCATTCTGTGTCAGTGAGATAATCCCATTAATGTTGCATTACTGCCAACATTAAAAGACAAAGAGGTCATAAGTGCAGGACCAACCAGAAGAAAACGTCCAGTTTGGAAACCTCTCCAGTAAGGCATAGATTTGAGGCGATTTTTGATCTTCCCCAAAAAAGTAATGTGCTGCTATGGCAAGCGAGACTATTCCATCAGAATGCTTTTCTGGAGCCTGAAAGTGAGAAAAGGGCAACACAGTCTTTATGATTGTTTATGGCTTTTAAACACAAGATCAATCCAGATGTACTTTTCTACACAATTAGCATCTATGCAACAAACGTCATCCTGCTGCTCTTTGTCCTACATGCTAAAACACTTCCTATCTTCAAATGTATCAGTCTGATTATACAATGCATTGAACTTTCAACTAGGTATTCAGATCACAGAGCTTCTGACATGTTTCTAACTCCAACATCTTTATCTGTTTGTTTTCCTGACAAAACAAGACACGGACTCCAACACAGCATTTATACTGATCCCTCTACTGTGAATCCTTGGGAGGAAAAGCCTTTTCTGCCTAGCTTTGCCACTATCAAAAAAGCCTGTCATGCTGCAGATTCCTGTCTGCTTTTATCAAGCACCCTCAGAGGATTATTTGGTTAAGTGTTTAGACTGCATGATCTAGGAAGGAACAAGGGACTTTCTGAACTTTCCAAGGTTCTTGTAGTGTTTACTCAAAGAATAAGATACTCTTAAACCTATAATAAAAACACACAGATCTACAAAAAGGTTCTTCATTGGTTAGGTAATGGGGGGTGGAAATCATAAATCTCACTGGAACAGCAATGCTGGAAGCCTTGCTTCCAACTGAAAAGAATATAAAACAAAATATAGAAAACAAAGCTTTTACAACTCTCTTCAGTTTCAATACAGGTAACTTTCCCACCAAGGATGCCCTGTAATTTGCCAAAACCAAACAAACAAGATACATGAAAAGGAAACTACTCACAATAAGAAAAATAACTCTGAAATAACAGTAATAAAGATAAAACTTCAAGAACTATGAGGTTCAGTTCAGAGAAATCCAAACGTACAACCTAAGACCCTGGAGACAAGAAAAGTATTCTCACTTTGGCTGTTCGGCAAGTTAGTGGACTAAGCATCAAAAGTACATGAGAGTTCATACATGAACTTAAAGGACAAATGAAAAGAGGGAACCAAGAATTAGGATCTATCAAGTAAAGCCAAGCTTAAGAAAGCTACTATGACATCTTTCACATAAGAACGCAGAAATGGTGCCAAGAGGGCAGACCAAAGGACATGGTGTTTCCAGTGGTGGCATACTCACTGTCAGTTCTACCCAGAAGTGCCATGGGGTAGCCTGCAGCCCACGAGAGTAGAACACAAAGTAGTCTCCTCCCACACTGGCCACCGGGATACCATCCCCAAGGGACCAGGAGGACAGAGCTGACCCTTCATGTGGCCGAACGTACAGTGACATGTGACTTGGACCTGCAGAGACAGGGATATGTTCTAGACATATGAACAGGTGGAGTCATACCATCTATTTTACAATAGAGTAGCATGTTATCTGTGTATTACTACGTGTGGCTTCAATTATTTCTAAGTGATAAATGCGATGATGTAAGAGAGGGACAGAGCTCAGATCAAGGCCTACTCAAAACAGACAAGGTTATCAGTCCCACAAATAACTGCAACACAACACCCACAGCATTACAAAATTGAATTCATTCATGCCAGTCTTGCAGAGCTCACTATCTTAGGAATGGCACTAGGACCTGCAGTAGTAGAGTTGAAACCCAATTTATTATGGGCATAAAAATAAACACAAATCACAAATCAGAAGCTTTAGTCACTCACCAGATATTTCAAAGTTTAACCTCACAGAGTTCCAGGGCATCTGCTCCTTGGATAGAACTTTAAAGTGAATGGGGCTTCTTGGAAAAATTTCTGGAGCAGGAAGATACCAGTTTTTCCTGTTAAAAAAAAGAAAAAAAGTTTTTAACTTATTCTTAATGCAACAGTCAGAGGTACTAAATATGAGAAGCCAAGAAAAACTTTGTGTAGTATAGCTGGCTGTGCTGTCAGAAATTAAATATTCAAAATCTACTAATTCTAGCAGAAGGAAGGTTAAATTAGCAGCTTGTGACCAGGGCATATTAATAGGAAAGTAGTCACCAATGTGTTTATTACCTTCATCTGCCTTAATTTACAAAACAGTAAAATAAGTAAGAACATTTGCATGTTCAAACTGCTACACTTTTGCTCACAAGATTTCTGGTGTATGAGAAACAGTTGTAGCAGCTAGCTTTCTTCTGTGGAGACCAGCTACTCTAAGACTTCCTCTCTCGTCAGCTGTGTTGAGTTGGGGAAGAAGGGAAGTGATGTACAAACCCCTACTCTGAACTGTGCTTTAAAAGGCCTCCCCCTTCACCTTTTTCTCCACTAGTGCTGACACTGATTCTTCACACAACTTCTACAGCTCCCGCAGCAGACTGAGGAATCTCTTGGCAGAGATTCTGGTAGAAGTCCCTGCACCTAGACAGTTCAAGTGCCTTCTGAAGTGGAAGGATCATTTACTTTTAGACCAAGATTAGCCTTACTTTTTCTTCCCTTACATAAGCAAGACTGCATAAATGACCAATGTGCTTGGGCAGTTAAGTGCTCAAGCGAAGCAGCATTCACACCAACCGAAACATGAAATGCACTGGCAGAATCCAAGGAAAGCCACAGAAGGGAGCCTGCTCCTCACATGAAGTTCTAATGGTGTCATTGATTTCAGGTACATGAGGAGTTATGTGAGATATTCCATTATAATCAAATCCATTAATCCATATACCAGAGTCACTTTTAATCACATTTCCATCTAGATCATGAAACCTCCTGCTCGTGTGCTAGAAGGAGGGGAAAAAAAAAAAAAGAGAAAGATACACAGAAACATGATGGAGCCTGTGCAGTTCGCAAGAGTCAGAAGGGATTCTGAAATACCCTCTGTGTCAATCCTTAAGGTCTACTGCATTTTCAGTATTCACTGAACACATATCTGAGTATGAATATATATAGATAGATAATTACTCAGATAAAAGAAACATATCACAAAAACTACCTACATTTAGAAGATGGCTATAAGTCATCAGACTGTAAGCCTGTATTTGCTCATCTCCCATCACATTCACTTTAACTACTTATTCAACTCTCCCTCTAAAAAAACCTGCTCTTCTGACACAGTTGAACTGAACAGATGAACATGGAAAATATTAGCAATTCTTTCAAATCCAGAAACAATCATTGTGGGGAGGGAATGACACAGGAGCAGGTTAAGCTGTGAAAAAAATAAAACACTCTTCCAACCAACAGAAGCAGTATGATATGCAAGACTTATCTTACCTGGAGAAAGACTCGCTTAGGCTTTGGATTAGCTGCATCAGAACTGTAAGGAAAGAAGACTCCACTACAAACAAGAATCAGAGTGACTACAAACACTGTAGTTAAAGTTATTAGTGTCGTTTTTGTACTTTTGACAAGGTAAATGAAGTTTATCTAGAGAAAAAAAAGACATCCCAGTTAGAAAACTGCAAGACTGAAAAACAAGACACTATTCATTTAACTCTACAATCCAGTTATGGAACTGAAAGTACATTAAAAAGGTACTATTGCAAAGACTGACACAAGACACGTCTTTGTAATCTCAGTATTTAAAAGCAAAAGAAATGAAGTGAGTACTTCATGGAACTTTCAAAAATTTCCTATTTTTTAAAACACCTGCCTACAAACCTCTAGAACCTTTGCAGCAAGGACAGCAGCAAAAGCTTCACCACCTAAGAATGTCTTTTTAAAGTGTAGTATAGATATTGTTCAGCTATACAGAATCATAAAATGGTTTGGGTTGGAAGCGACCTTAAAGATCACCCAGCCCAACCCCCCTGCCATGGGCAGGGACATCTTTCACTAGATCAGGCTGCTCAATGCCCCAAACTGTACTTCACCTAAAATGAATGCCTATACTCCACTTAAAATTAATTCCAGCATTAAATTGCATATTTTACACCAATCTTTACTACATCATCATAGAGCAGATACATTTTTGTGATGCCTGTTTCGATGACTTTCCTTTGCCCAACGTAAGACATGAAATCTCTGACATGTTTCTTAGAAGTTTCCTGTAACATTTAAGATGTTGTCGAAGTAGCTTCAAGTATTAATTTAGAAAAAACATTGATTTTAAACTCCAGAGAAAGTTTAAAAGTTTTAAATGTTTACAAATTCTACTTACAAAATAGGATGACAGAATCACAGTGATAACCACAATAAATCCTGCCAATACCACATCTGGTGGAATTTCTGAACCACTTCGTCCCATGATAGGAGTAAACATTTCAAATATAGTCCAACTAAGATACATCATATACAGATAGGGAACAAACATTCCCAGCAGGTACATCATGACAAATTTCACTGTGACACCTATAGGTGACAGGAAAAAAAATTAAGACAAAAAATAAAAGCTTAAAAGGACATAAACACTCAGCTTTCCTAATACATCCATATACTGCTGCAAGGCCCAGTACACAATACTAGTCCTCATCTCTGACATGGGTATCACAGAACCACACAGAATCACAGAATGAGTTAGTTATGAGGAGTTGGAAGGGACCTCGAAGGATCATCCAGTCCAAACCCCCTGCCAGAGCAGGATCACCTAGACTAGGTCACACAGGAACACGTTCAGGTGGGTTTTGAATGTGTCCAGAGAAGGAGACTCCACAACCTCCCTGGGCAGCCTGGTCCAGTGCTCTGTCACCCTCACAGTGAACAAGCTTTTCCTCATGTTCAGGTTGAACCTCCTATGCTCCAGTTTGCTCCCATTGCCCCTTGTCCTGTCATTGGCTGTAACTGAGAAGAGCCTGGCTCCTTCCTCCTGACACTCGACCTTTATGAATTTATAAACATTAATGAGGTCATAAACATTAATGAGGTCATAAACATTAATGAGGTCAGTGAGGGTATGGAAAGGGAATCTCATTTTGCCTAGCCAGTGCCAATATAACTATTTCAAAAACACCACAACAATATTGTTGTATTACAAAAAAAAGTTTAAACAGCTGTTCTGTCCTAAACATTGTTTAAATATTACAGTATTTTAACAACCTTCACTGTCCATCAAAGTATTTGATCACTTATTAATAACCCCATGTGTAGCATTGTTCTTTTTACTCTGAGACACAGGATGTTTTTTAGTGTATTTTTTAAAAAGCATCTCCATACTTTCAAACTGTCTTTAGTTCAAGAACACTGTTACAGACAAAACTGTCACGTGTACTTTGACTATTCAAAGTTCAAAAGTTTGAGATTTCTTTTGCTTAAACAATAGAGTTCAGAAGAAAACACCCAATATACAATAGCAGGGGCAGAGGTTTCAAAATACAACCTCCCTCATTCAAAACTCATACCTTTTTGGCTGAATTCTTTATGGAACATCATCTTAGTGAGTAAAGGAAAGGCTACCCATAACGTACAAATGAATGCTGAACAAAGGCCCATGTGAGTAATCATAGCCAATGCTATAGACCAAATTATCAATGAGACATCAAAAAAAGTATCTCCCAGGTACTGCTCATTCATATTCTGTAAGAAACAAAGCAAATACACTTGTTACTGAGCATATTCCGTGTATCACATCTCATGAGAACACATAGAAAAATCCTTATTTCTTATATATAATTGTTTTACTTGGACAAAACAATTTTGACAAGCATCATCTCACCATTTTTACCATTTAGAGTTATCTATGAGAGCATACTTTCATTTGTTAATTTTTAAAATCTGCTCTGATATAGCTTGAAAGAGAGATTACATGGGCTAGGGCAGAGGGAGGAACGGAACGTACAAATGACAGTGTCAAGAAAATGGAAGGCTAATGTTTCTGGTACACAGGCATATAGGGTCTTTTTCATAAAAGGCATTGGTATTTGTGAAGCTTATAAAAAAGATACATACTACTTATATGTGAAAAAATGATCTACATCTCCTGAGATTCTAAACCTGGTTTTGAACAGCAGCTGTTAATACACTTCTTATATAAGCACTGTTATTAGTGCACAAATGTTATACTTGCGCCTTTACATGTCATGCCACAGCTGTAACTTCAGAAGTCTGCTTTTTAAAATATACTATCCATAGGCATCCATGATGACATCCATGGGCCAGATAATACGTTTTCAAAAAAGAAGGAAGCTTAACCATCAAGAAAATGGTTTCATTTTGTGTCTTGTTTTTTTTTTTTAAGTTATATGGGCAATATCTGTAGTACAAGATTCTTCATTGTAATCCTGCTAGCAGCAAGTAGGACTGCCTGTGTCAACACTGGCTATTAGAAAGCATCCGTTTCAGTTTTGGGCTGGTAAATCAAAATTAAAAAATAAAAAAGGAGGAGAAGGAGAAACATATGAGTTGCCAAACCTATTTCAAAACAAAAAGCTTATTAATTCCAAGTTCTTGAGCCACTAACACCCTGGCATTGCCTGTGATAGCCAAGTAAGAAATAAGCTTCCAAAATTCTTATACAACTCTCAAGTACAATTTAAGATAGAGGCAGCATAAACTGTACAGTGTACTGCAAGCTTCAACATACAAAAAAATTTAAGAGCCTCATGATAATGCACTGGTTGATCTGCTGATCAGACCACCAGCAGGAAAGAAGTAGATCCAGAGCCTGGAAAGGTTAGCAAAAGTACACTCTCTCATCAGCTCATCCAAAAGACTAGAAAACAGTAACAGCACATCTATCTTATAAATGACTCATATTTTCCACAAAGAGACACCACCACATACACGTATTTGTTAACATATGTATAGCAGTTAACACTATCCTTCCCCAAAAACTTAAAAACGCCCTTTCAGGTAAAGACACAATGGATCTGCCCAGAACTTTCCATACAATCAAATTTCAGTAAATTCTTAACATTCTTCAAATGGTTGGATAAAGCTTTATTTGGCTGACAACTTTGGTTTCCCAAATTCCCTTGCCCAAAGCTCATACAAATGGCTGTGAAGATAAGTAACAGCAAGTTGGGTAAGTATTGCTGTACCTAAAACCCAAACCTAACAGGCTCAAGTAGTCAACTTCTGCCCTGGAAGAGTATCATCTGTCAGATACCTCAAAGCACCACCTCAAGGCCCTATTTGTTTTTAACATAAAACTGTTAAACTATTATCTAGACAAAATAATTGTTATGAGCTATGATTATGACATCATTATGCACATTAAATCATGTTAGTTACTCCGTAAGAAAGAATTCTAAGCAAAAAAGGAAGGTAGACAGTAATCATGACAAATGAGAGCAATGGAAATCCTCACCAAGCATTGCAGGGGCCCAAATGACCTTCACCTATAGAATAGACTATGGATTATCAAGAGCTCTGTTCCACCTCCAGCTGCAGTCAAATAACTCAGACCAGAATAATCATACAGGCAAGGGTGACTACTCAGATTTTTACCACAGCTTCACTTAGAAAGCTCTGTAGAACATAGATTACTAAATTAGAAGGGGGCATGACAGAACTAGAACTTCTGACACATGTAAGAAAAAAGCTCTTGTATGAACCACCTGAAAAAAAGACTGTATTATTTGCTTAGAAGGGTATGAATACAAATGACATCACCAAAACAATATGCATAATAAAAGGACAGAATAAAACAGAGAGAACTGGGATGCCAAGTTTCATAACAAAATATAAATGATAAATCAGATTAAATAAGAAATAAAAATATTAAAAGATACATAAGGAGGTACTATATCAAAAGAAATTATTAAATTTAGGGAGCCTGTGATACAAAATGCAAGAGTCTGGTAAGATTCAAAGAACTTTTGAGTATATATGAAGATTGTGTAATTATCAACAATCTTGAAAGGTATCAGAAAACCTAAATTCTCCAGCTGTTGCTCTGATCTCTTGTCATTGAAGTGGTGGTGAGAAGGGAAGATGCAAACAGAGGAAAATCAATACCTTATACCATCATCTGCTAGGCTTTTGCAGTTTTTTCTGAAGCAGCTCCTAAAGGTCATAAGCAAGGAGAAAGCCTTAAATCACGAAGGTCTTAACTCTCTGGTTTAGTAGAGCAATGCCAATGACTAAGCAAAGCATTTTTACAGTAACATTTTAAATACTTCTGTCCAATGAAGAAAACTTTTAGCATTTTTTTAATCAACTCAAAAATTAAGTCTTCCACAGATTAAACACTACGTTTCCCTTCAACATCAGCACCAAACACAAGCTTACCTTGTAGAAGTATTTCTTGGTTAAAGTATGCACAAGGATGAGCTTAGCTGCAGCTGCAGTGCCATACAGAAACACAGAAACATAAAAATGTGTGTACCAAGAAAGGGACCGTCCAATGATGGAGACGAACACTGCCACTATAAGAACCGTCACCAGTGTGGCCACCCAACTTATCACTGTTAAGCCGAATGCAGTGAACAATTTATTCAGGTTATGAACAGCTATAAAGGAGAAAAAAAGACTTTATTCAACAGTCATGTATTCTACCACAGACTATCATTAAGATTCAACTATCCCACAGTGTAATTGCTTTAATGACCAAAACCAAACCACATGAGAAGTCCACTCTGAAGCTTTCTTAACAGCATGGTCTAAATCACTTAGTCTATTTCTTCATAAGGCTTTTTTGCAGTCTTCCCCACAGCAAGATTTATTCTTAGAGTAGTGATGAATTTTGTAATGATAATATTCCTGATAGTAAAAATTTCTCTTGGAAACCTGCTACCACTGTACTATCTGTAAAGTAAAAATGTTTGCCAGATTGGGGCAGGAGGTGCGGTATGTTGGATTTTATTTGATTTTTCTTTTAAACAGGTATGTTCCTACATATAACTGAAAAGGTCTAATTGGAAAATTTAAGTTTTCACACTCTTTATTAAGCTTTGTTATCTTTTTCCCCATTCATTATTTTCTTATTTGCCTTATTTACCACTTGACTATGCACAGGTGTTAAAGAAACATGATTCTGAAGCCCTACCTGTGCTAACAGAATAAACAGAAGCTGACTGGACGTGGCTTGGATGGGCATACACTTTGCTGCGTTAAAAACTGCCTGGATGGCCAAACACAGAGGGTTGTGGTGAATGGAGCTAAATCCAGTTGGCCACCACTCACAAGCGGTGTTCCCCAGGGCTCAGTTCTGGGGCCAGTCCTGTTTAACATCTTTATCAACAATCTGGATGAGGGGATTGAGTGCTCCCTCAGCAGGTTTGCAGATGACACTAAGTTGGGAGGGAGTGTTGATCTGCCTGAGGGTAGGAAGGCTCTGCAGAGGGACCTGGACAGGCTGAATCAATGGGCTGAGGCCAACTGTATGAGCTTCAACAAGGCCAAGTGCCGGGTCCTGCACTTTGGTGCAGGCTTGGGGACGAGTGGCTGGAAAGCTGCCAGGCAGAAAAGGAGGGTGTTGGTGGACAGCAGGATGACCATGAGCCAGCAATGTGCCCTTGTGGCCAAGAAGGCCAATGGCATCCTGGGGTGTATCAGAAGGGCTGTGGTTCGCAGGTCGAGAGAGGTTCTTCTTCCCTTCCTAGCTTGGAGAAGAGGAGACTGAGGGGTGATCTCATTAATGTTTATAAATTTTTAAAGGGCGAGTGTCAGGAGGAAGGAGCCAGGCTCTTCTCAGTGACAGCCAATGACAGGACAAGGGGCAATGGGAGCAAGCTGGAACATAGGAGGTTCAATCTGAACATGAGGAAAAGCTTGTGCACTGTGAGGGTGACAGAGCACTGGACCAGGCTGCCCAGAGAGGTTGTGGAGTCTCCTTCTCTGGGGACATTCAAAATCTGCCTGGTCGTGTTCCTGTGTGACCCAGTCTAGGTGATCCTGCTCTGGCAGGGGGTTTGGACTGGATGATCTTTCGAGGTCCCTTCCACTCCTAAGGTTCTGTGATTCTGTGAAATAGTTTATAGAGATACTAAGCAAGTTTTGAGTTTGTTTTTTTTTTCCTTTTTACATCTTTACAGAGATTTAATTTTAAACTTCATGAAAGGATGAGACATAACTGTGATTCATAAATGCTGACATCTAGACGTATCATAGTTTTTCTTCATGATAACTATTCACCGTTGATAGATTTATACATGAAACAACTCTGCTGCACACCTAAGATTTATTTCTGAAGTTATCTAAAAAGATGCGTTAATTGCCTGAACACTTCTTCATCTACTAATTGCTACTCATTAAAGAGTAACACAATTATTTTTTTTTTAAGAACTAGACTTACCTCTGGTTTTGGGCTGTAAAACTTTCTTGCTTAAATAAAGAAAAGCAATTGCTGCTGTAATATAGTTCATGATGGTGCCAACACGAGCAGGATAAGCCAGGACAAATAAACCAAATACATCAAAGAACACAACATTTCCATGCCGATACTCAACAGATTTAGCCAACTTATCTGATGTTGCTAGGTATTTTAGCACAGCTAGAATATTGTCACCTATTAAAAAATCAGATGTACAACATCAGGGTTTGCGAATTAAAACACAGCACTCTTTTAAATATAAGCATTCTTAAAAATAAAACTGTACTGAGATATCCACAAAGACGTAAATAGACACATGATCATTCTGAAATAGGTATTTGGTGGTACACATAGCATAGTATTTTCATGAGTTAATCTATACAGCTGTAACTAAAATGAGTATACTTGGGAAGGTTCATGTATTGAAGCTGTTGCAATTAAAGTAGTAGTCAGGCTTTCAGCCCATAAACCCTTCTTCAGATCTGATACCAAATAACTGGACTTCAAGGCTAACCCACAGAAGAGTTTATAATTTCCTTCTTTTCCTCCTCTTATCCTTGCCACTAGTAACCTTTCCCCTCCATGTTTTAATGACTATGAATTACCTGCCTTTCTTTCCATAGATTATTGTAAGGTAGGCGACAAAATAGCTCATTTTCGTTGTAGCCTACAAGTACAAGTACAACTACCTCTTCCACAGTACAGCTAAAACACATGTAATCAAACGAGAAAAACTGTTTTCAACTTTCACTTTACTTTTACTAGACCTGTATAAGTGCTTACTGTCTGAAAAGTCCGTGTTGTTTGTTCGTTTGGGCTATTTTTGGTTTGGTTGACTTTTTAAAGCTGTGATAGCTTAGCAAGAGATGCTCTATGTAACTACCATGACCAGTAAAATCAGGAATTTGGAAATACTTTGTCTTACAACTGCACTGGCAGTTTAAATGAAAGTGTTTAAAACTCTTACTCAGTGATCATCTAAGTTGCCTTCTGCATAAGCTTAAAGAGAGAAATGTTCAAAATCCTGGAGGCATTTAAGATTATGCTAGTTTTTCTTGAGAAACCAAAAGCCTTACTGCAAATTTTTTTACTGCAGTCTGTCAAAAAGCTCACTATAAGCACAACCTGTCAGTAGAAAATAAATCCTGTTTATCCAGAATGTGTGTGCTACCACATAAGTTTTACTAGAATCCATTCTAAAAGAAAAACCTCTGTTGGCAGATCAGTCTCTATGTCACCAAATTAGCCATAAGCTTCTCCTGATGAACATTAATCAACAAGGAGACTTACTGAGAGAAAAGGAACACAGAATGCTGAACAATCACATATCAATGGCAAGACTATAACATTACTTTGATTCCACAGTTACTTTCAAATCAACTTTACTGGATCATGATAAAGTTTACCTTCCCAAGGTGACCAAACAAATTTCCTTTGTATTTTAAAGACACGCATTCAGTTCTTTGTTCTTTTGCATGTGTCAAGCATGTTCTAAATTTGTTAATAAACTTACAAATTTCTAGTGATTATAGTCTTACAAGAAATTGAAAAAGCAGCCACAACACCAGTCTTCAGTAAATTACTGAATTCTTGAAATACCAACCTGCTCTCTGGATGGAATCGGTTAAAATTCTGTCTGATGTGTCATATTTGGTATGATAAATGTAGCCATTTTCAATAAAAGCCAAATCTATTCCTACAGAGAGAGAAAAAGTACATCTGAAATTATGTACACCTAAAACCTGAAACCAAACATGCAAAAGCCTCAGACATATTTCACACAAAAATGTATAACGTGCTTTCCAGATATTTACTGGTAAAACATCAATAGAGATCCATGCTGAAAAGTAATAAAAAGCAGTACTGTGGAACTTGTCAAAATACCAGGTGTGTTCTTTTTACTTAAAATGTGTAAACATCTTTACAAGTAGCCAACCTGAAAAGTCCTAAATTAAGAGTCCAAGTAATTTGTAAAAAAAAAACAACCCAAAAATATTTGCAAAAAAAAAAAAGGTTTGCTGCAAGGTTAATTATACATTCAGTGTATCTCAAACATATGACCTCTTAGCTGCATATGCAAAAAGCTGCTGTCTGCAATCTGAATCCTCACACTTTTGCAGCGGTTTAACAAATCAGACCTTAATTTTATCAGTGGACAAAGAGGAACAAACTAGTTCTTTACCTCAATTATTTAATTTCTATTTGGTCAGAAAAAAAACAGAGGTCGATGAGAATTCATTTACCATTTATGATCCAGGTATGATTGTGAACAAATAAAGAACAAATTGTACAAAGCGTTCAGCTACTTTATTTTTAGGCTATAAGTATACTTTGGAACAGTTCAGAATACACCAACATATTTTGTTCTAAGAATCAATTTAGAAATATCACTTTTCTTGAATATTATTCCAATGATAACCTGTGCCAAACAGCAAAGATTTTACAGAAGATTACATTACTTTGAATTGTGTTTGCACTGTGTTTCACAATTTTTTCCCACTGGTCATTCTCTGCAGAACAAATAAACTGCAAAGAGATTAGTAAAACCAGAACATGCTGTCCTGTGCTTCATTATGACAATATAAAAGGTAATGAAAATGCATTAGTTACTTAGTCACTATTTTAAAAAAGATAATTTTGTTTTACCCATTAGGCACAGACATTTAATTCCTGCAGGCAGATTATTAGCATCATTACAAAAATGTTTCAAACAGGCTATTTAAGAGTGTACTGTTAATTCCTGGAGTGCTATACTAATTTTCAGGGAACTTTTCCACCAGGTAGTTTCTTTCTGGAAAACCGCAGTCTCCAAAACACATTCTTAAGAACATGCAGGACAAACCAAACCTAAAGGCAGGAAAACTTGCTCCCAAACTGAAAGTCAAACCAAATTTGAGCATCTTTACACACTAAAATGCAGGACATTCTCCTTGTTATAATAAGATAAATGGCTGCATAACATGCATTGGCATGTCTTCTGGTAACACACCTGGAACACTGCCGAAGTCCCTGTAGATACGAAAGTCTGTATCTGCTGGGATGATACCACTCTGAAATACTTCCTGTGCAACCACAGAGGCAAACGGATGCTTGGCTGCAGCTACGTATGCTTGTACCAACCAAGGATTCTCAGGTCCTAAAAAAAGATGAGCAGGAAGTTCAGAACAAATACTTTTTGAACTTCAGTTAAGAAAGGTATCTTTATGGTAACAAGCACATAACACAAAAGAACTCACTAGGGTTTTAACACTGTTAACCTACAGGGTATATGCTAAGTGCATTTGTGTTGACTGAATGACTCCTACTTGAGAAACGTTAGTAACATTTTGGGGGAAAAAACACAGAACTCTGATGCCCTGAGTGTTTAGTGGCAGAGCCGATAAGTCATCTCCCAGAAAAGATCCAGTACTAATGAAGAAGACACAGCATTTAACGGAGCCTCTAATTTATCATCCATGTAACACACCTCAAAATTGTTGTTTAGAGAAAAGTCTCTCCACTAAAGCATTCAATACAAGTAAACAGTTAAGCAGCTCCAGCAGCAGCAGGACATCTGCAGTCCAACTAGGATGGAGCTGAAGTTTAACTGCAGCCTACAAAATAGCAGTTCTGCTGCTTCCTGAGCAGCAAGCAGACGGAGTTGTCATGCCAAGATCTACATACAAAAATTTTTTTTAAACTCCTGTGAAAATTACATAAAGCATATGAAGGTATGAGTATGCAAGATATAATAGATATACAAATCTGTTTTTCTTCTTATTACCTTGATATATAAGGGAAAAAATATAACTCCTGCAATCCTGTTCTACAGAGGCTTCGCACCTTTGAGGAAACTTCTGTGGCAGTGCTTTAGCCTACATCCTATAGCCTATTTGAAAATGGAGAGCAACTTACTTGCAGCACAGGGATAGGAAAGGGGCACAGAAGTTCTCTTGTCTTTTGCTTATGAGTCACTTTCAATGCTCCTTCAAGTCTAGGTTGTTTATAATCAAATTATCATAGTGTAGAAACTGGACACAATGCAAGCTCATACCTGTTTGAAAAACAAGTTCTTTTCCTCCTACACCCGCTGCCTCCAGGTTAATAAAAGCTCTAATTGACTTAGCCCACTCATGTTGTGTAATGAAACCATGACTAGCCTTGACAGGAAAACAAAAAAAAATATAGGTCAAATATCTTCCAAACCAGCCTAAATGTTATTTTCCATCATGTATGATCATAACTCAAGACTGGACAAGCCAGTCAGATCACTTACAACACAAACAGATGCAGAAAATTCAAGTCTTCTAAATAAATTAATACAGACAATATTCTTAATCTAAGTACATTTTTTTCCTTTGAAATCAAATACATTTTCCTCAGAATGTTAAGACTGGCATTTGACTAATATTTCAAAAAAAAAAAAAAAAGCCATATCTGCATTTACTCTTTCTACTGTCAGAGTCTTAATACACAGATTTGATGTATATTTTATGATTTTGGCATATTCTCACCTGCAAAATATTTTCTTCTGCACCATTAAATAAAAAGATGACAGCATGCTGCAGGGGCTCTGATGATTTTGAAAGTGTGTTAAGTATTTCAAGCATCACGGCGCAGCTAACAGCATCATCGCTGGCACCTTAAAACAATCATCAGAATAGTAAGGCTTAGAATGAACACACAGAATTGCAACAAAGACCAGAGAAGAAAAAAGCTTTATGCTATCTCAGTCACTTAATCTGAGGTACAATTATGTCAAGTACATTTTCTGCTACTGCTTGTACCCTGTGTCTATACAAGTTAAAAGCAACAGCAGAAAGAAAAATAATGTTCAAAAGTTGAGCAAGTGAACTACAAGATACCAGATCCAACACTACTGTTCATGAAAAGTAGACTAACCAGGTTACTAAGCAAAGTGAACATTATTTATTTTTCTAAGAACAATACAAATAAACAAGGATATAGTTCTCACAGCATACTCAAATTTTAAAAATAAATACACAAGCCACCCTGAAGCATTCTACACCGTTACAATGTATTCAAGAAAGTGGACAAAACCTCAAAGTGACATAAGGCCAAGACTGCAAAATAAAGGAAACAACATAATTCACACCTTTAAAACATTCTTAAAATGGAAGTATACACTATAATACAGTGTTTTCATGATTAGATGCTTTCCACCACCCTTCTTTGCAGAAAACTCCTTTTGCTCTGAGAGTTCTCTTTGAGTTCTTAATTCAACACTATTCTAGGCTTACTCCCATTTCCTCCCACTTCTTCCCATGCCCCACAATTTTTATATCTTGATCAAACACCTATCTTTTAGCCAAGGTCTCCCATTGCCCCATTTTCCTCACTTTGGTGAAAGTTGTACCATTTCCCTACCCCATTCTAATCAATAAAATTTGGGAGCAAACAGAAATGTAACCTCATTCCTTTTGGCCTGGGTTGCATATACAACACTGACGTGCATTGATACAATCGACAGTGTGATAAACCTCAGCATGCTATTAGGACAGGCTCACTAGCTGCTAAAACTATTTAATTAACACATACTAAAGCAGCTTTTCCAAAGCTTGTAACTTGGCAAAATTTAGACATATCTGCCAGTTTCATGAAAAGGGCATCTTCCTGATACAAACAAATCTCAGCCTAAATTTTAGTGCCAGCTCACTGTATCGAAGTACTCTGGAATAAATAAATAAAACCAAAATCTTTCCAATACATTGTTCTCTAATCCATTTCTCAGAAATTAATGCTTTGGTCTGTGAAAAGCTTTCCAAAAAGCCCCCAAAAAATATCTGATTTAAAGCCCCAATTATATCATTACCCAATTTATGAGGAGTCTACTCTTAGCCACACTATTTTACCTAAATTATGCTGTGTTGAAAACTCAGCAGAGAAGTGACTATAGTTTTCACTGAGATTAATCTGCCTTGCTGTGAAGCTAAGAAAAATAAGTTATTAGTTTCAACAGGCACACAGATTTACATCTGATTAAAGCAGCCATGTAGCCATGGACCACGACAAGCTCACGGAGAAACTATCATCCTCAAACACTTAATAGGCAGCAAAATGGACAGGTTAAAACAGATTTTATGGCAAATATCAGCAACCTAAGAAAACCGCATCTGCAATGATTATGTCAAGGATGTTTCTGCCTTCAAATGTTATTAGAAAAGAATCAAACATGCAATATAAACTGAAAATTTAGTACCATTAGAACAAGAGACACATTTTAGGAGTTTACAGTTTATGTTCTTTCTTCAAAAGCAACTCAAGCTTTCTAACATGGAAAGCCTAATGGTTTACCAACTTTTGCTTTACTCATGTTGGATGCATAAGCATCAGCAAGCAGATTATAATTTTCGAAAACATTACTCATTTATCACTGAGTCCTGCTGATTAGGGTTAAGCAACACATTTTTGGTAATGAAAAAAAGCTGAAATACAAGGCAACAGAAAACAAAAGGTTCTTGCTTAGGCTATGTGCAAGTTTCACACTAAGAAAACAAAAGAGCAGTTCCTCACTGCTGGGGTAAAGGGCTAAGCTGATTTGCGATTCAAGGCAAACATACAGGCTGATTTCTAGCTCCTCCAGATTTCTGCATAATTCTATACAAATCAATATTTCTGTGCAAGGTTGGTGAAATCTTTTACGGAGTAATTGTAAAGAAAGTAATTGATGTAGACATAACCCTGTTACAACCCACAGAAGCAGACACACAGTTTACACAGAGCATCAGTTTAAAGACAGTTTTCAATAATCACTGTATTGTGCTTGTGAAGTATTCTTTCTAAGTCTAGGCAGCCACATTTAGACTATAAATACAGTAACTTGCACCTTTGCAGGTCCCAAATCACAGAGCATGTGTAATAACCATGCAGTTATTAAGCTTAATTTGGAAACTCATCTAGCCTAAATATGAGAAGTTCTGACTACTACTGACAGAAAAAAAGCACATAGAATATGGCAAGTGCTGTGTTTCTCTAGCTAACAGTCACCTGTTTTCTCAATAATGAGAACCACTTGCATGTGCTAAAGAATAGAAGGTTTACCCCCAAAATTAAAGTATCATGTTTACAAAGAAACTTCAGTAAGAGCTGCATTGTTGGTGACTGAAGGTAGTTACCTGTGGGTGTTTTTCAACTGCAGTAACAGGCATACACCTGTGGCTGAGTGCTACAACAAATGTTTCTGTGCAGTTTGCAGTTCCTTATCTTCCTGGTACTGTTACAACCATGTATTTACAAAACTGTTTACACCCTTGCTGCAATAATTACTTAACATGATTAGATTTATAAAAATGCAGAGGGACAAGAGAGTATGCAACAGTGACACTGAAAGTAGCAACAAGAGAGATGTACAGACTATCAAGGCAACAGTACGTTAATTTTTGATGACTAGTCTTTTGAGACAGAAGCTTTGAGTGCAGAAAGAAAAAAAAATGGCATAGCTTAAGGATATCACACTAAAAATCTGAGATAAAGTCCAATACCAGCAAAGGGAGGGGAAAACACAGGACTTGTTAGTGGGGGTTGGAACAGCTTCTGGCACACTGCATCCTGTGAGAGGAAAGGCAGGATTAAATCAGTACAGAAGTACAGAAAGACCTGAACAGCAGGTGGAAGCACTACATGAACTACAAGCATAAGCAGTGAATTACAAGAAAGGCAGGTATAACCAAACTTTCCAGAAATCAAAATACAGTATCTGCAATCTCCTGCTACCAAAGTGTGAAATCCTAACTTCAAAAAGGAGCAACCTGTCACTCTAAACACTGAATCTCACTGAAATCAAGCAGATTAATTGACACATGCAGTATTCCAGCATGTGGCTATAAGGCTACTTGGTATGAGAAGACAGCGAACCAAGTTCTGTGACTCATGTAATAGATACAGAAAGGCAGAATAAATGTGTGGACCTACCCGGGGTATTTGGTACGGAATCAAAGTGACAATTGGACAACACTGCATGCTCAGCTCCATTACGGGGTTCCAGCTTCACTACGACATTGGTTATGTTTGCATAGTAACTAGTAAAGCCTCCTAAAAAGTCAATACTGAAGGAGCCTGTGGGTCTCTGAATGTCTACAGATACCTTGTGAGCATCTGTGTTTTCTCTTTCTATTGCCCTAATTTGTTCTAAGAGGTAGTTAACTGCAAAAACTTCATTTTCTGGACTTCCAACTGTTCTGGGCCCAATTGCTGTTATGTTGTCAAGATATGCCCTGTAAGAGATAAATTACACATTCAGCATCAACATGTTTAACATTTAGTATGTAACTTATCTGTAACATTTTTGTACATTGTTCTATTTCAAAACTCAGAGCAAGTAGAAGAGACTATAGCCAGTCAGATAGTAACTGTAGTCAGCACACCAAAGATCATTATGGTAACTGGCACACAGTAATGATCCTTACTCTGGGCATCTCATCCTACCTATAATGATATTAAACCAAACCACTGGCTTTACAGTAGAGCAAGAATTAAACTCTGGAGGATGCACTGCTTGATCTGCCCAAAACAGCACCTTTCAGAGGCAGCCCATAATGGAGCCAGAGCCCTTACGGTACTTTTACCTACTGCCTGTAAGCACTCGAGAGA